AAAACCCAAAAGCCCCAAAAGCCCTAAAACCCTAAAGCCCTAAACCCTAAACCCTAAAACCCAAAAGCCCCAAAAGCCCTAAAACCCTAAAGCCCTAAACCCTAAACCCCTAAATCCCAAGGCCACTGCAAAACTCAAGGCCACTGAACCCCAAGGCCCCTGCCGAAGCTATTGCCGCCATTCCTGCTTGGGCTTTATGGCTTAGGGTTTTAGGGTTTAGGGTTTTAGGGTTCGGGGTTTAGAGTTTTAGGGTTTAGGGCTTCAGGGCTTTCGGGCTTAGGGTTTTAGGGGTTTAAGGTTTAGGGTTTTAGGGCTTTAGGGTTTTAGGGTTTTAGGGTTTAGGGTGTTAGGGTTTAGGGCTTAGGGTTTAGAGTTTAGATTTCCTAAACCACCCAGTGAGGCTCCAGAACCCTGAACGCCTGTGAACCGAACACAAAAGCTTATACCAGTACTAGTGTAGGGTGTAGGAGTTACGGGTTTGGGGTTTAAGGGTTTAAAAGGGTGTAGGGTTTACAAGAACCATGTACACTGAAACGGGTCACTAGAGGGCGCCTACGACATGCATACATGGATCATGCATACATGGATCCATTTCCCTAGATCATCCGACGCTACACACCCCGACAGACCCACATTTCGCCTGTATGCAGAAGCCGCAGCACGAAAACCTTTGCCGCAGACCAGAAGCACTAGACTTCAGCATCAAACTTCACAAACCGACACACCTGCACAACTTTCATGCCGATGCCAAATTGTCCTAAAGCCAGAAAGTGTCGGCTGAAATTGACCGATACGATGTGTGGCGCAGAGCAGATGTACCTGATTTAGGTGGAAGGGCTTTGTTTGATGCGCTGCAGTGGATTTACGCAGAAAAAGCCTGAGAGTTCATTACACCCATCGCTTCCCCTCTCGTAGCAACTGGTAAAGACGCCGAACCCCTCTGAACTCAAAAGACTTGAACACCAAGTATGACCCCAACGCCCTACCCGACAACTTAAACCCTTATATAATAAGAAGTCGGAACAAATACTACTGATGTCCCCCTAAATCCCTGTACCTTAATACTTAATACTGCCATGATATACCCCAAAACTAACCCTAGAATAGGGATTATGAAAGCCCAGGGGGGCTCCTGGCTGTATATATTTTCTCGTCTTTTCAACTTTATTTTCTTCTCATAAGACCCGGAAGCATAAGGAAAAGGTTATCACTAATCAGTTGGCTTCAATGACCCGCGGACCTTGGCTCCACGCCAGACTCAGGAGTCAAGAGTCTTTCCCACCGCGGAGCATGCAGCCAGGCCGGGGGTGGGGGGCCCTTAACGCCTTAAGGCTTACCTGAGCCCTACAACCCCGAAGCCCGAAAACTGAAGATGTTGGGGTGAAAGGTCGGCTTCATGGGAGATATTGCTTGGGGCTCGGGGCTCGGGGTATGGGGTGCTGGGTCTCGAGGGGTGAGGACTGGTTGGATTGTGGTGTAGGGCTCGAGTTCGGAATGAGCTTGCAGGCTTCTGCTTCCTAAACTCTAAACTCTAAACCCTCAATCCTAAACCCTAAACTTGACGTAATCTGTAAGGGTGTAGTCGAAGTTGTGAGTGGTCAAGCTGTAGTGTCAAGAGTGCACCATGGTCGGCGACTGTGGGTGCGGGACTGTGGAACGGAACATCGTCCTGTTGCATGTATGCACATGCGTGCAGCTTCTATCATCTTGCACATGTCCAAACGAACATCAGCCAAGCTCAGAAGCATGCGACCACTAAATCATAGGCTACATGCTGGCCCGCAGCCGTGTCCCTGCCTCTCCTACCCTTTGAGAAGCTGCGACGAATCGAGCCGAGTGCAAATGCATGATGTTCGCATCCTCATTTGCTTGGTCATCTAGCATCGAGTGCACATGCAATCATGCAGGCACGAACTATTGATGCATGTAAGAATGCCTGCATGTTGATACGTCAGAAGGACATACCCAGACCCCCGGGAGGATCTAAAAAGCAGAGCCCCTAACTTGGGACCCTAACTACTAAAGGGTAGTTTATAGGAATTCCCCTTAAGGGATCTACTTTTTGGATCCTCCTGGGGGCCTGGGTATACTATGCACCCTATACCTTGCTGGAAGGTTGGGGAGGCGAGCGATGCAAGGAGGTATGGATGTATGGATGGAAGAAAGAGAGAAACAAAACATTGTACATAGATAGGTATACAGAACAGATAGATAGGTAGACAGATAGAAAGATAGAAAATAGCTAGCTAGATAGATACTTAGATAGATGGAGATCCAGAAAGACAGGGCAAGAAAGAGAGCGAGCGAGCGACAGAGAGAGAGAGAGACAAAGAGAGAGAGAGAGAGAGAGAGAGAGAAAAAAAAAAGAAAGAGAGGGAACCTGAGAGAGAGAGAGAGAGAGACATAAAACAGGAGCGCACGTGTGAGCATGTCTGTCTCGTGCCCGAACTCCAGCCGTCTGTTTCTTTTTCATGACTCTCAGCCCTGCTCCTCTGCTTTGTCCTCTTCCCCCATGTCGGGCGTCTTGGCAAATGCGCTGCGGATGTAGAGCCAAAGGAAGTAGATGTAAACCCCGATAGTGAGTGCGAAGAAGAGAGCGCTGCTGGCAACGTAAATGGCGTAGGGCATGAAAGGCCATTCGACTAGCAAAGAAATCACAAGCACCAAACACGCCGAGGAGATTCCCAGCATCTGTGCTTCCAGTCGGTTCAATAGAGGACTGGCATAAGGTCGGATGGTGATGTGTAGGAGCTCTGCAACAATCATGATGCCTCAAGCTGCCATAACAGTCTAGCCACAAGGCACATCGATTGTGATTTCATTAGTTTCAAAAATACAAAGTCTATGAGTGAACTCTCAGGAGGATTACCCGAAAGTCTTCACTCAATACTCCAGTAACGATCACAGATGCACTGGTTTGTGTATGGTGGTCCCTAAACCCGTATAAACCCGCAATCCTAACCCCCTAAACCCTAACCTCTACATCGTCAAAGCCCAGACCCTAAACCCTAAACCCCTAAACCCTAAGCCCCTGAACCCTAAACATATGACCTCTACATCGTCAAAGCCCAAACCCTAAACCCTAAACCCCTAAACCCTAAACCCTAAACCCCCAAACCCCCAAACCCTAAACATATAACCTCTACATCGTCAACGCCCAACTCCCGCCGGGCTGCCCAGGAGATAAACCAAGTGAGCCCCGGGTGCCCAGGACATGGGAAGCAACGTCGCCACCACGAAGATGGCCTGGGTTCTGCTTTTGTGCTTAGGGCTTAGGGTTTAGATGGCCTGGGTTCTGCTTTTGGGTTTAGGGTTTAGATGGCCTGGGTTCTGCTTTAGGGATTAGGGTTTAGGGTTTAGATGGCCTGGGTTCCGCTTTTGAGGCCATAACACCACCACCCCAAACTCTGAAATCCTAAACCCTAAACCCTAGACCCTGAAATCCTAAACCCTACAAACCCTGAAATCCTAAGCCCTGACATCCCAAGCCCTAAACCCTAAACTCCTAAACCCTATATCCTGAAATCCTAAACCTTAATGACACATGGTCTAGACTAGGATTCAGGGTTCAGCGTTGCTTCCCCTCAATAACATACAACATAAAGGAACACGCCATGTTGAGACTTTGCAACAATGAAAAAAGGTCCATGTCTCAATGACTTCCGAGGGGCTGCTTTTCTCCCGAGGACCATGACCTATCTTTTCATCTTATTAAAGTTTTATGGGCAATTGCACAATCAATGTATAGTGCCTAGAAAGGCAGACTATTGGGATTGGTTGCAGACCGTCGTGCCGTGTTACTACTCCCCCAAAATACAGCAATTAAGGAATCTACCTTCCCTTTGTGGAGGGATCATCAGTATGACTTAAGCGATGCTCGTTAACTTAGGGGTTTCGGAATCTCTCTGAGTTCAGGACCTGTATCTACTTCAATTTTGGATCTGCGGTTGATGTTGTGTTAAGGTTTAGGAATGTAGAGACACTCTAGGTATGTGCGTTTGTGGCATACATAATGTTTCGTCATGCATGACCATTTGCAGGGGCGATCAGCACGTGTCCTCCACAGCGTATGCATGGAGTTTGTCTAATGCACGCAGTTCGCTCACCTCTCAGGCCGCATCAACACTTCGTTGTCAAAGCAACAACACCTAGGCAAGAAACCCTAAACCCTAAAATGTTCAAAGGCCCTGAAGCTGAAACCGTTTCTCTGCCTCCCACCATCGCAGCGTTGGCCTGTAGCCCGCCACCAAGAAGGCCACTGTCTCCCTCCGCTCATCCCAGAGCTCCTCTTGTGTGGTCTTAAAAGGGTCTTACCAGGGTCTGAGGGTCCTGTATATGGGTTCGTCAAAGCTCTTATATGTGTGTGTGTATATATATATATGTTTATTTATTGTACTGGTTTGTATATGTATATTATAGGATGCACGTTGGAGCATCCGCAAGCTGCCCCTTTTAAGGACACTTCTTGGTTTTTCGTGCCTGTCTCTTCCGAAAGTGCTCAAAAAACAATCAAAAGGAACCTCCCCCCACCCACGCCCCCGCCAGCCAATGGTGATACAGCGATAAAGGAGAACAGGCAGCACTATTGAATGCAACAGCCATTGGTTCTAAGCACGGCTCGACATGCATATGTTTGCATCTGGATAGGCTTCAAAATACAGCGTTTTCCTAAAGGTCCTTATGATAAGTGAAGCACGGAGCTACTGCGACAAACTCAGGGGCATAATATAGGGGCCTTAATAAGAAGAATAGGTTTCTGGGCTCCTTCATAGTATAGTTCTAGTATGGAGCCCTGAGAAAAAATATTGGTATGCTTCTATATATTAGTCGCCTCCAAACCCCTAAAACTACTAAACCGCGTGTATGTTTAGCAGTAAAGGCATAGCACGGAGAAGGACATCCCTCTCCTTCCCCAGATCCCTGGCGGCCAGCGCGAGCCACAGGAGGGGTCCTACAAGAAGAAGCAGGAGGCTCGCCCCAGTGGGGTTTAGGGGTGTTAGGGGTTTAGGGTTTAGGGTCCTACAAGAAGTAGGAGGAGGCTCGTCCCAGCAGCCAGCCAAAATCGCGGCAGCTGCAGGAGAAGAGAGAAGCTGGCAACGCAGGGCGTGCCAAAGGCAGCCTCGTACATGAGGATCCGGGGGCCCCCTGCCTCTCTCGTTTTCGCGGTCATGGATGTCGCATGATTGGGGGTGTGGGGGTGCAAACGCAGGGCACTTAATAACTAGTATAGGGTTTACACTGTAAGTATAATAAGGAACCCCCAAAATAGTTTGGGCAATTATTAAGGCCCCTAAATTATTTTTCTTTGACTTGCCTGAGTGGAGAAGCAGGGCAGAAGCTTGGCAGCTGCCCCGACCAGGGGCGGGACGAAGACGTTGCCCCAGACCACCAGGGCCTTCAGCCACCCGCGCTTGCCGAGCCAGCACCAAGACAACAGCAGCAAAGCTGTCGGGATGGACCAAGACAGGAAGATGTTCCAGTACAAATTTACTGGGCCATCCACCAAGCCCCAGCAGTCGTAGGCGGAGTTCATAGACCTGGACTGGCCCCCCCAAAATCTGTAGAGCCCTGAAGTCCCAATTAAAGGCACCCCAAAATCCAAACGTCGAAACTCGAAGTTACCACCACATCCGAGCTGCCCTGGCTCGGTGCTGATCACCAGGTCCACTGCAAAGAGGCAACGGTAGAGCGCCTGCTGCCCAAGGTAGGAATTCACAACCCTGCTCCGACCCCAGATTTAAAACAGCAGTGGAAGCAGCAGCAATAGCAAACGTAGCGGCAAACGAAGACAAAGCACAAAGGCAATCTCTCAAGCTATCGCTGTGGAAGTTGATTCCGTGCCTGAGCACAGGCATAAATGTCATCTTTCAATCTCTTGTAGTGCCGTGTGTTGGGCAAGGCGGAGAGACTCCGGCAAGAGATGGTCAGGAATGCCAGGAAAACCTCGGATGGTTTTCATGTTGAAGTCTTGAGACTCGCAATAACATGGGGATGGGGGGGGGGAGATTAAAAGCTACAAAGCCCACGGCTGTTCGTTGGCATTGCTAGTCTGCTAGAGGAGCGACACGACTTTACTGAGGCCCGCCAGGGTCCGGTTCGACACCACAATGCTGAAAGGTGTGTGTGTGTGTGGGGCTTTGACAATTATAATGGCGCTTCGGCGTCTGTTTTGCTATATGACATAGATAGGAATTTCAAGGACTGGTAGCGCTGGTAGCACTGATTATTCAAGCTTCCATATGGGGGGTTTCCCAAAATAGGGGACCCTAATATAGTACCCTAAAGAGTAGGATCCTCATTATAAGGACCCCGACATAACGTAGCCCTAATTTGCAGAAACTCCCAGATTAAGAACCCAGGCCACGGAACACTCAATCCTGAACTCTTCGGTCCCCCCACGAGCAATCTGGCATCCCAAAATCCTTTAGGGCTTAGGCTTAGGGTGTATAGGTTTAGGGTTTAGGGTTTTGGGCAATTATAGGGTTGAAGTTGGTATAAGCTTAGGGGTATACTTTCCAGCACCAGTGAATTTGGGGGCTAGGGTGTCTCGCAATTGAGTTTTCTCCTGCCAGGGCTTTCTCTTGGGTTTTATCGCGGTCTTGAATACGTCTGAAGGGTCTGCGGGTTTAAGGGTTAGTCTGAGGCTTCGGGACTGTGGTCTTCTTCGGGGCAATGTGCTGCGAATGAAGGTGTAACATGATTTGAACTTTTCTGAATAATAGCATGCAAATGTTGCCCACAACAGCTGATATTCCTAGAATGAACCCGGCAACCGTTTGGAGGATAGATTCAGGCATCCTTCCAAACCGGTGCAGACCGCAACTCCACAAACGCTTGTAACCCTAATGTCGAAACACACAGCCCTTTGAAACTTGGCCATACTCAAAACCGTATATACAACTATTGAACCCCTGACCCCCACCTTGAAGATCTGCTGCGTGTCGGTGCGGGGTCTGGCAGAGCTGAGGGCCAGGGCGTAGAAGAGGCCGCTGGAGAGAAAAGCCATGCCCACCTGGCGTTGGATTGGACTCGGCTTTTGGGGAATATCGAGAGCTAAGCCTTTACCAAGTTGCCCGAAAAGAAGAAAAGATCTTAACCGTCATTGAGGCACCCACTTTGAGTTTATGGACGCCTTAAGCTTACGTGGCCAAAGTGCGAGACGGTGACTGCGGCTTCGGAACAGCCAGAGCGGGTTGCGTTGGGGCTGGGAGCTTGATCAGGGTTTCAGGGTTTGCGGTTTAGGGTTCTGGGTTCAGGGTTTAGGGCCTAGGGTTTAGAAGAGTACCATTGTGTTTTTAGGAGCATACTGCACGAAAGCTGAAGCCTGCTTCAAGGCATGGGCTGTGTCCAGATATCGAAGCAAAACGAGCAGGATTCTGATGATGTTCTACAGCTGAAACCTATACCACAAACCCTTCGACTCCTCATGATAAGCTCTTTAATGCTAGACCTGAAAAGCGTAAGCCCCACCCTAAACCAACAAGAAGCCCCATAATATTGCTACGCTCAAAAACCTTTGATATTACACACACACACACACTCTCACTCAACCTTACGACTCTAAGTTACGAGAACGATTCTGTATAAAGCAAGCTTACAAGTACCCCAATTCGGACTACCGATCCTACATACCGGGTCCCCCTGATCCCTTAACATCAACAAAAAGCCCCTTCCTGATCCCCTGAATCCGAGTCCACAGGCCCTAACTCTAAGCCACATATACTTCCTCACAACTCGCAATAGCGACCCTTATAACATCTTATAACCACATATCCATGCTATAATGTATCGCCCAAGCTTCCAAACCGCGAGCACTGAATCCCCTCGTCCCGCGAATAGGTTTTGGTAAACAGCCCCTGCCTGCTGCAGCAAAGACCATCCTCGGCCGTGGCGGCGGGGAGTGCCCGTTTCGTTGGAGTTCCATGAGGCTCGGCAGCATTTTGCAGCATGCTTAGAGTTGTCTTGCAGCGCTCTTCCACTCGTATGAATAATAATGATAATGATAATAATAGTAATAACACTAGTAGTAATAACAATAAGAATAGTAATATAGTACTAATGGTCATACTCATAATAACCATACTGTTTCATTTGAAAACCCAAACCGAAAAGACCCGGCCCTGAACCCGAAACCCTCAAATCCGAACCTCAACCAGCCCTGAACCAAACCATGAACCCCGATACTGCAAACCCCGAGACCCCAAACCCTCAACCCTATAATCCCTAAACCCCAAACCCTCAGCCCTATAAGCCCTAAACCCTCAACCCTACAAGCCCAAAACCGTAAAAGCCCTAAACCCTATAAGCCCTGAAGCCCTAAAGCCTAAACCCTATAAGCCCTAAACCCTAAACCCTAAAAGCCCTAAACCCTATAAGCCCTAAACCCTAAAAGCCCGAAACCCTACAATCCCTAAACCCCTAAAAGCCCCAAACCCTATAAGCCCTAAAGCCGCAAAGCCTAAACCCTATAAGCCCTAAACCCTAAACCCTAAAAGCCCGAAACCCTAAACCCTATTAGCCCGAAACCCTCAGCCCTAAAAGCCCCAAACCCGAAACCCTATAAGCCCCAGACCCTAAGCCCTAAAAGCCCGAAACCCGAAACCCAGTGAGCCTCCGCAGGGATGGCAGGTGAAGGGATCCAGGAAAGGTCGACCGTAGCCAGGCGCACAGCGGACGCAGCCCGGGCTGCTCTGATAGCCTTGGGCCCGGTTTAAGGTTAAGGGTTTACAGGGCTTAAGGTTTAGGGTTGAGGGTTTATGAGGTTTAGGGTTTAGGATTTAAGGGTTAGGGCTTAGGGTTTAGGGCTTAGAGGTTTTTGGGTTTAGGGGGTTAGGGTTGAGGGGTTTAGGGTTTATAGGGTTTAGGGCTTATAGGGTCTAGGGCTTATAGGGTTTAGGGGTTTAGGGTTTTGGGCCCGGACTTTACTTTGGTGTAACAAGGGGCTTGTTGCGGCTTTTTGCAATGGCTTCAAAGGGCTAACTTAGGTCCGGACTTGCGGCTTTTGGTTTTGACGTTGACAAAGGTTTCAAAAGGTTGGGGGGCAGGACTTGAGGGTGTGGGGGTTTTGTAAGCGGTTTGTCGGCTTCTAAACTTTCTAAACCATTTAGCCCACTTACACCAAACCTTACACCCAAACTTTCAAACCGACTAATCAACAAGCCTCACGTCAAACCCTCAAGCACAAAACCTAAAACACCAACCCCTAACCCCACTACCCCAAAACGACTAATCAACAAGCCTCACATCAAACCCTCAAGCACAAAACCTTCGACGAATCAAAGCAAGGGGCCTTCGGCGCAGAGCCTACTCCTCGGAGCTAGCTCGCCGGCGCCGGTGAGGCTGAGGTTGCTGCCGGGACCTCGGCTGTTGTTTTCGTCTTTTTCCTGTGCATGGGGTCTTACTTGGAGGTTCATGGGTAGTCATAAGTGGGGCTATGAGTCCCCTGATATGGGTTATAACAATAGTCATCTTACTTATGACCCGACTCGTAACTACCCATGAACCTCCAAGTACATACATGCAGAATTCTCCTAGGGTTCCTGACGCTTTACGAGTCTAAGCGCTTCTGCCTGCAAGGATCTTAGTGGGCTTGTTTCTCCCAGTCGAAAAGGTTTCAAAAGGCTTTGGCTTGGTTGGGGGCTTAGTCGTAGTACCTCATGGGTTTAGGGTTTAGGGTTTGGGGTTTAGGGTTTAGCGATCATGGAAATGTTTGAGCTTGCATCGTGAGTCATCAACCCCGCTTAGGCCAGTACCAGCTAGAAGCATGAAAAGTTACGTTCCAGAGCATCCGAGGGGCAGGCCACGCGGTTGGGGCAGTAATGGACGTTAAGCCTCTGCTTCCCTGCGGCCGCATTGTCAGGAAATAATGCGGCGAACCAACAGCAGTGACAATTGTTCAATCTCCCCCCCCAGGGTAAAGATAAATACAGGTAACTAATCGGAACATTTAGGCTAACTCAACTACTAGAGTTACTAGAATTTACTAGAAGTATTATCTAGTGGAAGGGACAGGCAACAATGGACACGAGAACGTTTCTTGAGTAACCTGAGCCCTCCCCACGTCCTGCTACGTGAAGGAGCATGTAGCCTCGAAGCGAGCTTGCTGATGTTCCACCGCGGCACTGGGTCTTGTCTGCCATCTCGCTTGCAACGTCATGGCACGGAAGGCAAGCCAAGTACGGGTTTTTGGGTCGAAAAGCGTAGCTCACCTCATGATCAATGCCAAAAACCAGATCCGGGGCTTGTGTCGGGCTGATATGGCCATGCTCGTCCACTTGGAACATGCCTGTCTCGCTGCTTTTGCTCCAAGGTAGGCCATCCAAGCTCTTGATGAAGGCCACCGGGGTGTTGGGAACGTAGGAGTTATAAGGCACAGCAAGCATCCAGCCTTCTGAGGTCCTGTGGGCAATGAAAGGCTTGGGACGGCATCTAGCGCTCAAAACTCATACTATGCCATCTTCTTCACGGCTCAGAACTCAAGATTCAGTTTCAGCTCAGGACCCAAGCTTGCGATGCCGTGCCTTTATTAAGTTTGGATGGAGACCTGACCCAAGCACAAGCCGTGCCCAAGACAGTCCACCTCAGCCTGTTGTGTGTTCCGCGGGAGTGATGCCTCGGCTTTGACAGCTAGCTATGAGCCGGGTCATAAGTAAGACAGAGAGATGTAGGGTCATACTGGCGTATCGTCCACCTCGCTACCCGCCCCCCTGCATTGGCCTCGCCTCGCTTCATCCTGCGTGCGACATGTCACTTGCCGCAACGGCAGCACTGAACTGCACATTTCGTGTGCGTGCGTCTGCCTGTGCCCGTGCTGTCATAGCAGATCAGATCCGCATCAGGGAGTGGTTTGCATTGTATTTGCCACTTGGCTCCTTGCGTTTGCCACCCAAATTACTCAAACACTCCAAGAACTCACAAGCCAAACGAAACAGAGAAATGCTCCATGTTAGAACCTAGGCACCTGCGGTTGACTACTCTTCAGAAGCTGTGCAAAATCTGCCCGGCCCCTCCATGATGTTGTGTCTGACGGCTTTGGCACAAAGGCAGAAGTTCAGAGAGAAGTTGGAAACAGAAAGAGCACGTACAAGCGTGTACGATCCCGACATGTTTTGAAAGTGTCCTGAACATGCCACGATCGAAAGTGAATGCCGACTGATTCTGCTGTCCCAGCATGACCGGAAAGATGTCCCAACCCGGCTCCCAGTCACCACGAGCGAGGCCCAAGCAACGACCAGGGCCTTTACATTGTTCCGACCTCTCTCCTTTCGATCTGTCCTCAGATCGGAAGGGCTGGATGGCATTGGGGGATCCCCGCCCCACGAGAACAATGCGCATCCCATCTTCAGACGTCGCCACTTTGCCCTCCACCTGCACCGTTGAAGTCGCCAAAGACACCGTGCCGGATCCACACATCCAGCACTTGCCGGGGATGGGGGCGCCGGTTCTGTCAAGAGTGAATCGAGAACCTGCCGGACATATGTCGTCACCCTGGCTGGCTGGCTTCGTCGCCATCAGCTCCTCCAGTTGAAACACAGTATATTATAGTATACGTATAGTCTATTATAGTATATTATAGTCCATTATAGTATATTAGAGTCTATTATAGTCTGTTATAGTATTTATATAGTATATTATAGTATGTTATAGTATGTCTCCTCCAGTTGAAACACATCCTCCGGGAGCAGGTCCCCACCAACTGGGATGGCTGCATTGCGAGCGAAAATGGGCGAGCCCACGTAGCTCTCCATGCCTTCGAGGGCGACCCTGGTCCTTGCGGGCTGAGTCCCCTAGCCCAAGAAAGGGTTAACCTTTCAGTTATGGTAGCATTATACAAGCCCCAAAAGGGGTAACCTTTCAATTATGGTAGGGATATATAAGCCCCAAATAGGTTAACCTTTCAGTTGTGGCAGGATTATCCAAGCCCAAAAAAGGTTAACCTTTCAGTTATGGTAGGATTATATACGCCCAAAAAGGTTAAAGGTTA